TCCTGCAATTATGGGCTCGCTTTCGGCCGAGGGCCTGACCATTGCCTTTGCAACTCACCCTCGGAGACGCCCGTCTTCTCCACACACGAGTCATGGAAGGGCTTGGCCATTTTCAGGATGCCCGGCGGTGGATACTGCAATTAAAAATTGTTGCTTAAGTGGGCGTGGCAGCGGGCGGAGGCGCAACAGCGCGGCCGGGCACTTCATTAACCCACGTTCTCGTCACGCTGCGCCGCAGCCGGCGGCAGGATCAGCGCTCCGCTGAGCAGCGACAAGGCGATTAAAAGGACAGACGCACTGACACGCCGACCAAAGCCATTCAAAGCCATTTTAATGTGGCTCTTTCCGTTTCGCTCCTTTCCGTCCGGTTCGTCCGTGAAACAGCAAAAATTGTTCCTGCCTCGGCCTTGTTTGCGAGTTCTGAATAAAACAAAAACAAGCCCTGGAAAAAATAAACGAGAAACGTGAAACAAAAGCGGCGATGCATAGCGGAGTACACGGCACAGGACGAGGGCAAGAAGGAAGGACAAGAATGAGAATCCGAATAAGGAGGAGGACGCGGATAGGGCTGTGGATGTGGATGAGGATGCAGATGCTGTTGACGACGATGTGCCACGCGTGACAGCTGGACAATGACAATGGGCGTGGCAGTGTGTGGGTACACTGAGGGGAAAGCATCATTAAAAGTCAACAATAGAATCCTTTACTCGAGCTGGTTTCATTCTCTGAACACTGTCCCTTCTCTTGATTATACTTCGAGAAATTCAATATGAACATAATTCAATTTCTTTAGATAAATACTGCAAAAATCTCTAGAGTTTTGAAATCCCTTCGAATGGTATCTAAAAGTAGGGGAGAGTGGGGGAATTTCGTCAGCATTTTTTCAAAGCTATTTTTTGTCCATCTTGAGACACGTTATCATATTTCTATTTTTATTGTTGAATGCGGTTAGCACCAAGCTTTAAAATGTGACATTCCCCTATTTTTTTAATTAGCTTGGTGATTTATAAAAAAATAAAATGTAAAACCAATATACTGGGGCAATCTCACCACACAGGGGGGTAAAATCACCACACAACTGGGGAAATTTCGTCACCTGAAAAATGTAGGGAGTTTAACGCCTGAAAATATGCTACACTGATCAAGCGTACCATTTTTGTTGACGTCCTATATTTGTTGCTGCTGCTGGTAGACTGTTCGTTAGCCAGCTCGTCAAATATAAAAATATGTATTTAAAATAGGTGCGAATTTACCCTTAGCGTAGGGTGTCGAAATTTCCCCAGACCGTACTTTTTTAGAAATAATTATTTTTCTTGCGAAATTAGGCGCGAAGTTAAAAATCACTGACGCAGAAATGCACATTATAGCACTGTGTATTATATAAAAAATCTTGGCCTTCTGTGCAAAACAAATGCATTGGTTGTGTCTGGCCGTCTTGAAGGACTAAAACAAAAAAAATATATATTTTTACGACTTATGGATTCCGAGATATTGCAGGTGACGAAATTGCCCCTGTGACGAAATTCCCCCACTCTCCCCTATGCTGTGATAGGACGTACTCTTTTTAAATGAATCTATCGCCAAATAAGGTTGCTGGATACTTTTGACGCTTTTTTTGGATTTTTTAAAACACTATATTTTTAGTTTTTTTTTATAGAGCACATTAACTTAAATATTAAAATAACTTTTTCAAAGTGTGCTTTAGCTTTTTCATCAAAATTGCTCAGAATGTAAGATTGTGTTTTTCTAAGCCCTAGCGTTTTTCCTTCCTTTTCGGTGTTGTTGTTGTTGTGTTTTCTTACATTTTGTATTTTTCAAAAGCCACGAAAAGCAAAAAAAAATCATTTGTTTCTTGCCAGCTCAGCGCACGCTAAATTAATTCTAACCGCTGATGGCCGAACAAAAAGCGACCGCCAAAACGGAAACGGAACTGTGCCCGAGACGTCAGCGAAGTCGTCACAAGTCTACAATTGTCGTGTTCCGTCTGACAAACACATGCCCACGTGGCATGCCCTTCCATCCTCTCCGCCCACCCTATGCTGCCGACTCTCCGGCCCACCCGTTCCTTGGAATCCTTCGCTCAGGTCGACTGTGATATATTGCCTAGCCAAGGATTCGAGGATTCGGGGATTCCTTATGATGTATGATGGGGCGCAATGGACATTTTTCACATGCCAAGTGAAGTTCACTATTATTTGAAAGTGAAGAACATATTTTTTCTAAAGTGAATGTACTGATTTTAAAATTATTAAAAACGTCAAGAAAAAATTAAATAATTAAGGAGTTAGTTTTTTTGAACTTTGTGAGATTTTGGACTTTTAAAATCCAGGACCAAGACTATATTTTTATTTGAACAAAATAATCGACGTTAGCGATGGCTTTTCATAGAATATGTTTGAAAATTTGGAACAACATTATTCGTTTTCTATATGAGATGAATTTGATATATTTGCTTAAGTAATTTGATCGTTTTACCGGAACTTAATTCTAAACATAAATGTTGATCCTTATTTGAATTATGTATACTTACATAAAAAAACAAGAAAGGAAGCTAGCTTCGGCCAGCCGAAGCTTATATACCCTTGCAGATCATTCCTATTAATTAACAAATCGCAAAAATGTTCAATTTTCTATTTCTCATTATTTCTCATTAATTTCTCATTAATTTTCCGATCGTTCCTATGGCAGCTATATGATATAGTAGTCCGATTTTTAAAATAATTAATTCGAAATTTAGAAATATTTAAAAAATAACATCCCCAAAAGCAGAAGGTGATATTTCAAAAAACACCGAAGCTAGAATTTTTTTAACGTTTTCTTTTCCGATCTTTCCTATGGGAGCTATAAGATATAGTTGTCCGATCCGGTTGGTTCCGACATATATACTACCTGCAATAGAAAGAAGACTTTTGGGAAAGTTTCATACCGATAGCTCAAAAACTGAGAGACTAGTTTGCGTAGAAACAGACAGACGGACAGACGGACATGGCTAGATCGACTCGTCTAGTAATGCTGATCAAGAATATATATACTTTATGGGGTCGGAAACGTCTCCTTCACTGCGTTGCAAACTTCTGACTGAAATCATAATACCCTCTGCAAGGGTATAAAAATAGGTTACTTACATAAAAAAAATAGGTTATTTATTCTTATATTTTTAAGGTATTACAAAATGTTGCTTTTAAATTTGTTTTTGTATTTAAGAAATATTGTTGAAAAAAATTTTTTTTCTAAGTTATTAAATGAACTTAATAAATAAATTGTAGCAGAACACAATTTTAAAAGGCACAAGAGCTACAAATTGTTTTTTTTAAATGAAAAGTGTGAGTGCTGGCACCGAACTTTTGGGTTCGTGTATTTAAAGAATTGGAAATCCAAGCCGAACACCAATCTGCTCACACTTCGCAGCGGATGCCAGGGTATCAAAATATAAAATTTCCTATTCGTTCGCTTCTTTTGAAATTGTACAACCGAAATACACAAAACAAAGACTTCAACTTGTGCACAACTGTCACTTTTGTTTCATCAAATGTCAACGCAACAACCGAAACAAAGCCACAAAACGACATTCGCCCCTCAACTCACACACTCGCACAAAAATGGAGGACGAATGCGAATGAAATTACAGCAACAGCACATTTTTGTAGTATGAATGGAGGTTTGTGCAAATACGTATACGTATCGCAGTTGTGTGCGGCAGGAACGATGGATGGTTTTTTAATTGCCATTTCAATTTTCGTGTTGCAACGCGTCGTTTGCCTATGCTTGGGCAACCTTCGACCTCTCATTCGCCTTCGTCCTGGTGAAAAGGTGGTTCTCCCCATTTCCCAGGTCCTTTTCCTGTTCAGCAACTGGCAGCTGGTCCTTCACCCTACCATTCTACCAATTTGCCATTCTACCTTACCGTTCACTTTTAGCAGGAGTAGTTATTTCGAAAATTCGATACTGCACACACACGCCACGCAAGAATTGTTTGACAACCGCAGTCACAATTGAATTTGCTTTATTGCCGTTTGCAGCGTTTGGCTTTTATATTGATTTTGGCCAAGCTCACAAGACCACAACTGACTGCCGCACGCAGTTATCGGGCCAATTGACGCTTCAGGCCGAGGCGAATGTCTCTATAATGGCATCGCCCATATAAGTGCAGGCCCAACTCGAGGGCCACGCCCTCTGGCGTGTCTCTAATCATTAGACGGAAAATTCCAGAGTACACTCGAAATGGTGGTCTTCGGAAAATAAAGCGACCGTCATCAAATTTGTCTAACTAATTAATAACAAAATATTGAGAATTCCCATTAATTACACTTATAAGTTAAATGTTAAAAATAAATGTCAGTGTTACAAAAATTATGTTAATTGTAAAACGTGTAACTTTTGAAAACTTTAGTTATCTTAGATTGGCATGATTAAATTAAGTAATAATTAAATTAAAAGCCGATATTCAACTTACCATACTTAAATCAAATAATGGGACTCAGCAAGTGCTCCCGTTTAAATTATTTTCTTAGTGTACAAATGTTTTGTGGGTCAAACCAATGCAGGCTAAATCAACTTCCGAGGCAGACGAGGCGAAAGAAATGCAAAAACGGAAAGTTCCAGGCTGCAAAAGTAATCAAGGTAAAGCAATCCCCACAATGGCCAGTTGGAGCTTTTGTTGTCCATCCAGGCTAGACGGACAGATTCTGTAAGTAGCTCAATATCGGAGGGCTCTACCTGAGTGGAAATCCACTTGAACTTGTTCGATTGGATGCAGCAGATGCTGCCTTATCTAAACAACCAACAGGTAAATTAAAGCTGGGTGGTAAACGAAATCAGCCAATTTATTTCCCTTCTATTTTTTGTTCATTTCTAAAAATAATTTGAATTTCTATAACAAATCTACATTTAAATTAGCTAAGAAGAATTCCCATGCCAATGAAAACAAAGGCATATTTAAAATACAATAAAAAACTAAAAATGCAATAAACAAGTTAAAAATAATACAAAAAAAAAAACAATTCTGCTTTGAATTTAAAATATTTTTCTAAAATATTTATTCTTTAGTCCCGGAACCATTTATTTATGAGTAAGCATATTACGCAAAACTTCTACAACTGGTCTTGAATAATTGATAAGTTTAATTTTCCCGCCGGCAAGTCCGCTTAGAACCCCTGAAATGTTTCTCTTAAATAAATATTTAGACCAAGAAATAGTGGACAGGGTCAGCCTTCTTCCAGCATTGATGAAACCACCAGGCCTTGTGGCACAGAGTATCGCCCTCAGGATGCGTGCATCCTTTGGAAGCTTCCATCAATATGTTCCTCAACTTTTCTCCCGGAATTGCGTTAAAAAGCTTTTCCATGTGGACATCACCATTATCGTCGACCACCTCAAATTCGTGGAAGAGACAGTTCATATAGCATTTAAGGGCCTCGTCCTCGTGGACCTGGCCATCGCTGAACTCCTTGATGGCCTCTGCGGATTTCTAATATTTATTTTCAGCCGAAAGTCTCGAATAGAGCTATGACTCACCATCAGTTACGCCCGTTTTGGGCGCACAAATGTCATGGTAGTGCTTTGCCAATTTGAGGATCGCTGGCGGAGGCCACTGAAAATGAATACCAAGATAATAATTAGTGATTGGAAACTTTTGTTTTAGCCGGGCCAAACCTCAGCATCGCGCCGCGGTTCCTGGGCAGCGGCACAGCCAAACAGGAATAGCAGCAGGGCCAGGTATTTGATCATTTTGAAACTACAATGACTGGCCCGAGGGCTGGGACGGCCCTTTTATGAGATTGCCGGGGACTCCATTTCAATATTCAACGCCGTGATGACTGTCATTAGAAAACGCACACTAATTGCAGGCTGCCATTTGCAATCGAATTGCGAATCCATTTGGCAGCACGCAAGGCAAATGAATAAATGACAGCCCATACAGAGCGGCAATTGATAGCCAACTGCCAAATGGAGAACTAAAAACTAGAAACACACAAATTAAGCAATGATTGTATGTGGCCGGGACCTGCAATTTTCGGAGTGTCATCCCCAACACGCCGAACTGGTTCATTGCGATCTGTGCTGGCATTTGGTTTTGGAATACTTTATTTCTGTGGGCGTTGCAGCACGCACGCATTACGAGTGTACGAGCTTTATTGTGCGGGGGAAACATGTCATAAAAGTCAAATATCGCTCCACCAAAAAACGTATGTCAAATTCAATTCCAATTTGCGTTTCTTTTGACACGCCGACATCAGCAAATTCGCGTAGACAATGGGAAATATTTGAAATACTGAAAATAACTCAATTGCCTTGGAGTTGAGCACTGAAAGGTGCCATCAGTCAAGGTAACTACTAAAAATATATTAAAATTGTTCAATCCACTCTGGATGAGATTGGAGATTGAAAAGTGAATGCATATTGTTATGAGTAAGAAATACAAGCGCTCTAATTTAAAGAAATTAAATATCGAGTTTAAAATAAGGAACGCAGTAGATTTATGTGTCGTAGATTTTGTACTTTACAGTTGTACACTCAGAAAAAATACTTTTTAAACAAAGGAAGCTAGCCTTGACTTTTAGAAAAAAAATGTCTAAAAAAGAAAAAAGAAATTCAGGTATAGTATTTCCAAGGTTAAAAAAGAAGAAAATAAAAATCGGGAATTATGCCGGTTACACCCCTACCCCTCTGACAGTGCTTGTTGTTGCTTCCCATTTCGTAACTTATGTCACGATCAAATAAAAACACCTCTAAACGAGGTAAAAAACTCGTGACGATCGCACTTTCAACTTACAAAAGTTCTGATATCAACTTTTGTGACGAAAAATGATTTTAGATGCGACTAAATAGTTGTTTATATCTATGTGATGAACGTCATATCAAATTTTCAAAACTTAAAAAACATGTTTTGGACAAACTGACAAACAGAATTAAATTTTCATTTTGGGAAGACGTAGAAAATCTTATTTTGGCTATAACTTTTGAACGGAGCGTCGGATTTTATCATATGACCCCTCATTCGACGGGTATTTTCAATAGGAACACAAATAAAGCATTGCGAGGGGGCATTTATCCCCACCGGCCCCAACTGCTCCAAATTTCGAAATTTGCACTTTTTCACTTTCACTGCTCTCTCTCCCAAGCCAATTGATTTTCTTAAAGTATTGGTATGCAATCCTTTAAGTTTTTGCAATACCTTTCGATTGGTGTATTACTCATTACGATCGGACTATCACAGCAGATTTTCAATTTTGCGGCTATATAATAGTAGTCGCCTTCGCACACTCTCCTGGTGCGCTTCGTCACTACATGGACTGCCGTCCATAGTGATGTACGCACTAGAGCCCTGCAAAAGTATACTCGTAGAGCCCTTTTTCTCCCATTTCAAAAAATAGCTCAAGTAAATCAGCTCACAAAAATGTTCAAATCGAATAGCTCAGCTCCTAAATTTTTACAATGAGCTACTCGACTCGTTCGAAAACAAAGGGCTCATGGAATCATAAGCTCATGGAATCATGGGCTCGAGTAGCTCAGTTTTTCGACCGGAGCTGAAAACCGAAATTAAAGCATACAATTCACAACTTCCATTCAAGATTTAATCCTCAGAATTGTTTTTCCATCAGAAAAATCTCTACAATTTTGGGATTTTCAACTTTGGCGTCGAATTCCAAAGACATGGGCAAGGGTTCACAATGGGGACTATTTTTTAGGAATGCCGTGATGTATTGAGAGTAGGTCCTACCGATATTAATAAAGGTTAGTCCAATTATATAGGCCACGTAATTCAAAATGTCGGCAAACATCGGTTTTTTGTATTCTTAGCTATCTTAAAATAATTTTGTATGGGACTTTTACTCAGGAGCACCCAAATATCATGGAAAACTTGAAATGGTTCGTGGAAATTTTTGACTGTGTACCTGTGTTATTAAAGACGCCAAAAATTGTGGCCTATCCTATTCCTATCTTATTCCCCAAATTATCTTTTGCTATTTCTTGCGATTTAAATTTTTATTTTCATACTGCTCTTAAAATAAATTTTCTTTTTTTGACAATATATGTGGGTAAGGTAACACCTTAATTCATTCTCTCTGCTAACAGAAAATTGTATTATTAATTGCTCACTACAATATCACTGCTTTAATTTCAATACAAACAGTAGATGCTTAAGCAAAGACTAGATTTTAAATTCGATTAAAGCCTGTTTGCAAACTTTTCTCTGGAATTTCTCCGTGTTTATTTGGCTTTCTTTATTGCTTTAAGTTAGAAGTGTCAAAACTGGGTTTATTTTATTGCGACACGTTAAGCTCAATTGAGTAATTCTTATATATTTAATAAAAATAAAGGCAAGGGAAATTATGGAAGAAGTTTACGTAGTATAAAGTCAAAGTATTAGGCTAATTGGTAAATTCATCGCCCTGCTTCTTTGTGTAGCTCCTCTTGGGCTCCTTCATGTTGGTTGTCTGTGCACTAATGGCAAACATATTCCGGAGCCATGCACTTCAATCAGCCATGAAATCAAAGCAATTTCTATGCGCTGCTCTCAATCAGCAATGCAAGCGCATTCGCGGAACTCGTGACCCGATGCAACTGCAACTGCAGCAGCAACTGCAATTGCAATGGCAGCAGCAACATCGGCAGCATCGTCAAAAGCAACAGCAACAGCAGTTGATTTTGCCATTGGGCGGATGCAGAATATAATTATGAGGATGCAGCTCGCTTGCAGCTGGCTGTCAGCCACATATTAATTTTATTATGACGCCATTAATGCTTGTCGATGCATAAAATTATAGATGCGCTCTTTAGATAGCGCTAATTAAATAATTAAATATGCTTTAGGTCATTGCCAGTCAGCTGATTTATGGACGCCATCGATCAGGCGCGACAATTATGCAATTCCAGATGGCAGCAGCTGGATAAAATGTATTTCTCATTTTATTCATTTCCCCCTCCTTTTCCTAGTACTTGCATGCCAGTCCCTCTTGAAAAATTGTATTACAAGTAATAAAACATAAATCCCAAATAAACTCCAGCTCTACTTTAAGAAAATTGTGCAACAAAGTAGTTCATTATCCGCTTTGCTGATTCTGCAGCAATGTTCCATCTTAAGAACATCATCTCATGATTATACCCGTTACTCGTAGAGTAAAAGGGTATATTGTATTCGTGCAAAGTATGTAACAGGGAGAATGAAGCGTTTTCGACCCTATAAAGTATATATATTCTTGATCAGGGTTAATAGCCGAGTCGATCTAGCCATGTCTGTCTGTCTGTCTGTCCGTCTGTATGAACGCTGAGATCTCGGAAACTACAAAAGCTAGAAGGTTTCCACACATATTCTTGGGCTTCCTACGCAGCGCAAGTTTATTTCAGCCGACCTCCACGCCCCCTCTAACGCCCATAATCGCCCACTAACGTTTTTAAAATGTGTCTGGCGCCCACACCTTTAAAGATTTCCGAAAAGTATAAATGCTATTTTGTTGTGTATATTTATACCTATCGAAATGTAGAAGACATTTTTCAAATCGGCCCATTCATTAAATTCATCTCCCTCGAACTCCCTTTAGCTTAGTGACGGGTATTAGATAGTCGGGACACCCACCTGACTATAGCGTTCTCTCTTGTTTTCTTTTTTAGATCATGGTTAGATTACTGAGAACAAAAAATCCCTAAGATAAGAAATCTAGAAAAGATTGCAATTATAATCAAAGAATAAAAACAAACCTCCCTGATTAAGAAAATTACAAATTTAATATACTTTCGATTTTTTACCTACATATTTCATGAATAATTTACATTTGGTCTATATATTTATAGATTTTTTCGGAGTGTATAAGTTTACTGCATTAAATATTTCCCCTTCAGAACTTTGCTTGTTTCCTTTGATGCTTAACTGGCATGGTGACGAATAACCCGACTTCTAAAGCTCAACCTGTTTAACTATGACAGAGCAAGGAATTTATTTTTCCCTTTTATTCCCTTTAATACAAATTAACTGAGTTGCTGAGATGTTTAGCTAACTAAAAAATATGTGAGTTAAGTTAAAAAGAAAGTATCCCAAATGCATTGCGATTGCATGCCAAGATGTCAAGCTAATATTTTAAGCATGCTTGTTACCCAATTCGGGAGCAACGAAATTGGCAAAAGAATAAGTTTGACGACATCTGACAGAGTCAGAGGTCACACGTGACAGCGATAGGAGATGGGAAAGCTCAAAGCTTAAGTAGCTGTAATCTGGGTATCAATGCACGTGAGTGGCAGGGATGTCGGCGACTTAGTGGCTCAGTGGCCATCACGTGCCAAGCCAAATTGAAAGACTTATGACCGCTGCCGCTGCCATGCGGCTTTCATAACAGGAACCGCTTAAATTAACCTCCCGCCTTCGGCAATCAAATACCGCTCTGCAAGGCGCGAAAATGCATAACACGATAATAGGCAGCCAGAGTAATAATACGCCGCGTTGGACTGTGGTCCAAGATGGCAAAAATAAGAGTGAGAAAATGTACATAAAATGTGTACAGAGTGAGGAATATTCTATAACAAGGACTGTCCCTTTGATTTAAAATTAAATGACAAATAATTATTTGTCATTTAATTTTATTTTTAGTTTCATAATTGGTAAAATGATTTTTTTTTAATACCGACTATAGATAATTTGAAACACATTTCAGATAAAATAATTTCGACTGATAATAATTTCGAAAAAAGGCTAACAAAAATGAAACTTTGGTAATTCCATAATTTGTTCAATTGGATCTAAACAATCAAAGCTTCTTAATAA